TCCAGGAATTAATTAAAATTTTAAAACTAGTGTTTGATGCATATTTGCCGGACTGTAAACTGATTAACGTATAAATAACTGAAGTTTACTTTCTTTGCATAAACTGTTTGGATTATGTTTTAAACTCTTGTAAATTAATTCATAAAGGAATATAAGGAGTTTCTAGGACTGTTGGGACTTATCTTGCACCTTAAGAACTTTAAGAAAACTTTTGGAACAGAGGATAGAACTTTATCGGAATCAAGGAAGACGAACAATGAAAACATAAACTGTTTTTGTTTTCAGTTTAGGTTTTTGTCAATTAATTCATAATGGAATTAGAGAAGTTTCTAGGATTTTTAGGACTTATTTTGAACCTTAAAAATCTTTAACAAAAGTGGGACAAAGGACTGAAGCTTTGTCGAAAACAGAAAAAGGCAGACAGAAGAAACGGAGAAGGAAAAACGGAGGTTCAGAGAGTGGAGGAGGCTCCACCCTTCAATGGAGCAGGCTTCATTGAAGTGGAGCAGGCTCCACACTCTTGTGGAGGCGGCTCCAAGAAGGTAGAGCAGGCTCCACACTTTTGTGGAGCCGGCTCCTCTTTTGGAAATGCACAGTAAGTGTGTTTTGTTGATTTTTCTGATTACAAGGGCTTAAATGAAATTAATGGAAAGTGATGTGAGGTTATAAATGTTTAAAATTAACCTATTAAAACCTTAAAATAGTTAGTATATGCTAGTGTGTTAATATTAATGGACATCATGAATTTTAAAAGATTAATGTACATGCTGTCCAGGAAAGAGGAAGCCTTAAATGTCTAGTTTGGTTAGCCAATTGAATTGACTGAAATGAAAGATATTTTAGGGATGTTGTATCAAAGATATTTATGATATATTTAAGTTCCATGAGGGTTGGTTGGGTTGTGGTTGTGGACGTCGTGTAATTTAAATACATTGTTGCATGCTGTCAGGAGTGGAGGAGCTTTTATTTGCCAGTTTGTTTTAACCAGTTTATTTGGGTAAGTATAAAATACCATTGGGGTTTTATATAATGTTCAGTGAGACTTCTTAGTTGACATATTATGTCAGGCACAGGTTTTAAGATGGAGGATTAAAAAGGACGTCATGTAATGAAACGATAATTTTCATGCCGTCAGGGATTAAGGAGGATTTCCATTACTAGTCTTTGTTTTAATAATTTAAATAAACTAGTATGAGAGTATGGTTAGGGATGTCTAGTATAATCTGCTCAGCTCATATTTCTGATAGTCATTATACCATGGTATGGGTGTTAATTGATGAACTGTTGAAATTTCTGTTTTGTCAATGGGATGGATATGGATGGTTTAAATTGTCTATCAATGCTTTAACAATTTAAATGGAAGTTTTATGATTATAATCATATACTGGATGTATGATAGGATCTTATCAATATCTGATTTCTATTATGTTGGTTTCTGGATTTACTTGATGTTCATTTAGAGTGTGCATCATTCTTGGATCATATGCATTATATGCACCATTATGGGACGGTGGCATATCGGAGATGGATTAAATCAAAAAGCTAAGTCCTACCTCTTCATACATACGGAATGGATTAACTAAAGCAATTAAATCCTACATGGATGCATTCTGTCAACTAAAACAGTTGAATGATATAACGGATGTTTGCTTACTTTTCTATAGAAGGAAGGAAATGGATTATGAATATAAAATCCTACTTGTATTTAGTCTGTGCAGTTGAATAAGCTGAACGGCTAACTGGATTTCATATGGATGTTTAGTCTGTGCAACCGAATAAGTTGAACGACTAACTGATTTTCTTATGGATGGATAGGATAGATCTTTAACTATATATCTTTATGGTACCGTGATATGAGCTTGAGTCTCCTGATCACGGTTAGGGTGCGTATATCGCCTAAGATGGATAACTAGGCCTGATGATGTTTCCTTGGTTGTTTCTACTTGGGTTGAGACAGATTATGTGGGCTGGTGAGCGTCCTATAGTGTGTATCTATATCTATATGGACTATTTTAGCTATTGCCGAGCTATCTAGGATGTATCTGCGTATCGGGTTTATGTATGGATTGTAATAGTATGGAACTTGCATATGGGCCTGACCCACCCTTATTTTTCAGGTGTTCGTGAGTACCAGACTTAAGGCTTGATCGTGGTGATGCAGATACAATCACTCATTCTTCCGACTACATAGGATTTTCTTTCTTATTTTAGTTTTGGATTTTGATTCTGTAAATTTATTTATCGTTTGGGATTAATAGGAGTTCACTAGATGGATTCCCGAGTTGTACGGATTGGAAAATAAATTAAATAAGTTCATAATATTTTATTTAGAGGATTTTTATATTTAGATTTCTATTCTGCGGATTATTTTATTTTTTTTTAAATTCTTTTGTACTCTTGTTTGTTTACGTATTGATTGGTTGGTATCCCTCGGATCTGTGCCCGGACTTGATCACCCGTGGTTCTAGAAGCGAGGGGTATCACACATAGTTATAAAGCAAGCAAACCTTATTTTCTCAAGTACTCATAAAGCAGAAAATTGTTCTTAGTGAACTATAAAAGACATAATTGAGTTTTTATAAAATAGTTTTCAGAAAACTGAACCAAGCGGAGTCTTTGTACAGTTTTCTATTTTCATAAAACTAAAAATATAAAACTGTTCTTAGAGTTACAAATCAAGCAGACCCTAAGTGACTACTGATTTTTTCTCGATCTCTTTCTCTTGTAGGGATTACCAAAAGTTGTATTATTGACAAGGCCCCATTATATAATTTACTGATGTAAAGAATGATTATGGATGATATATAGATCATCAATGGATGTTTCACCCACCATCACCACCGTGAAGCTCTTTCACCCACCATCACTACCACTTTACATGTTCAAAACCCAAATCTTCAACATACACAACCATATAGCATCACTTTCAAACACCCAAATCTTTAACATACATATATATATACCTCCAGATCCAAAATGATAGCCACGGCGGACCTTTGCCCCCAAGCTCGAGAAGGATCCGAAGAAGCACATGGTCATCATAGGGATGGGCCTCGTCTCTATCATTCTTAGTGGTGATGACGGCAACGGTGGAAAGGGATTTAGGGGAAGAAAGGGATAGGGATTTGGTGGTGTGCTTGAGGGGGAGGCTGTGGGTTTAGTGGTGGGTTTGTTAGGGTTAGGGTTTGAGAGGTCGTGGGTTTAATGGTTGCCTCTGTTTTTCTGTCGTGGTAGTGGTGGACCGGCGATTGTGGTGGTATCTGGGTTCAGAGTATACATTTTTAATATATATATTTTTATGTAAATCTCAATTGAGAGAGAAGTTTACTATTAGAGAGAAAATAGAGAAATATAAAGTAGGTTAGGGTTTCTTATGGAGAAGGTGTAAGGATGGCAAAATCCCCATACCGTGCAGGTCCCCGCCCCACCCCGCCTTGTTTATGGATGGTTTGGGGACCCATTTATGTAAATGGGGAGGGGATGGGGATTGTAATTAAAACCCCGGCGGGGGATGGGGAGGGGGCGGGGGCAGGGGGAGGGTAACCCCGCCCTGCCCCGGCCCGTTTATACTACATTTTTACAAAATTGCCCTTACATGTTATAAAATATTACTAAATTACATAACTATATATATATATATATATATATATATATATATATATATATATATATATATATATATTCACTTCTGAAAGTTAAACCCTAGATTTATTCCCCGCAACATAGAGAAAAAGCATAGTCGTTGTGCATCAAAAATCTGATCATGTTTTAAATTGTTATAATTGTGCTAAACCTTTATTAAATTATTAGGTTGAAAAATATTATGGTTGTGTTGATTTTATTGAAGATAAATTGAAATTTTAAAAATGTTATGTGGGGCGGGACAGGGACGGAGGCTAATGTGGCGTGGCGTGGCAAGGTGGGGATGGAGGAGGGGATTGAAAATTAAATGGGTATGGGGGTAAAAAATTCAACCGAGGATGGGGATGGGGATGGGGATGGGGAATGAGATCCCCGCCTCATCCCGCCCCGCCCCATTGCCATCCCTAAGTAAGTGATAGGTTGGAGAGAGATTACCAAGAATAAAAGCATTTTTTAAAAGTTGTGATATTTTATAATTTAAATCAATAAAATATTAAAAGTCAATCTTGACTTTTTATATTTTTTAAGCGGATGTTTGGATTCAATTTCTTAAGGGGAGTGTCATTATTAAAAAAAAAATGCTCAATTTTTATATGGCTGTCATTATAGCATACTTAAGAGGTGTAATTGTAATTTATTTTTACCAACAGGCCTGTGGCCTAGCGGTATAAGATTCTTACTTCCCAAAGAGAGGTTAAGAGTTTGAACCTCAGTGGAGATAATGTGTGTGAATTTCCCAACTAAAAAAAAAAAAAAAAAAAAAATTGTAATTTATCCTTATGTAAATTATTGATGATGGTTGCTCTAACAGCATCACACAAGAAATATATGGCATATTGGCATCTGACTTGGATTACATCATTTATAATGTCAAGAATGTTATGAGATAAATTCATTTATCATTTGACAATTGGCAACTAAAAAGAGGCATCTGACTTGGATTACATCATTTAAATTCATTTATCATTTGACAATTGACAACTAAAAACGCACAAATGAGCTAAGCATAGGTTGAGGCAAGAAGATTAAAGTGACATATTTAACCTATGAATTTATTGCTAATAATATAAAATAAATGTTTTTTGCCAATAAAAAAACAGCTCAAATTAATTTTATATACTTAGGAGATTTTGGTACACATTAAAAAAAAAAAAAAAAAACACACCCTCATAACTATGTATAGGTATTTGTATAAGTTTGCATCAAGTATTTATTATAAACTTGTCACATGGAAAACTGTTAATTTTTGTGGCAAAGTTGATATTTAGCCCCACATAGGTGGTAGCTAGCTTAAGAAGTTGTGGCTAAATAAGGCGTGGTTTAATTGCAGACAATAGAGATGGAAGATACAAATTAAATGAGATTATAAAAATGAAATTGGTTTAATATTCAAAATGGAGCATGATTTCAAAGATATGGACTATGGAGAGCTACAATATTGTTGGGTGGCTAGTAATTAAAACATGTGGCTTCTTATGTTAATCAAGACTCGAGTGGAGTGGAGTGGACTACTAGGTAAATGGTACGTGCGTACAAGTTATTGGTGGAGCATCTGAGTCTGTCTTTGTCTCTTCACAACTTATAGTGTGATAAAAGTGGTTCCTCCAAATCAATTTTCGATTCATCCATCAAAATCTTCACATTTCCCGACTTCACATCTTTCTCCACTTTCAACTCCTCAATGTCTTTAGCCTTACCCCACAGCACAACATATAATCCACCAATTACACAAACACCACCTACCAAGCTGTAAGTACAATAATAATTCACTTTAATTTTGATATAGATATCCACAACAAATTAATGGTGATCAAAATGTTTTATATATATCCACAACAAATTAATGGTGATCAAAATGTTTTATATATATATATATACCTTCCAGTATAGATCTCTTCATGTAGAAATATAGAAGCAAAGATGGTGACTATAACTGTGCATAGAGGATTAAACATTGCAGAGAAGAGTGGACCCCTACGCGAAATGCACCAGGCTTGAACAAAGAAGGACAACCCTGATCCTATTATTCCCTGTTGTTTAATCCATCATAAAATTAACACAATTAAGTTCATCTCAATATTATTAATTAATTACTATTACAAAATTAAGTATATAATTCCAGATAGCTAGAAAACCATGCCAACAACTTACTGAATAAAAACAACAAGCAAGTTGAAGATATGAATTCATATTCCAAGCTTTCGAGGAGTGTTTCTCTGTGAAGAATGCAACTATTGCTGATTGTATTGTTGCCATAAAACACATCCAAGCAGATAAGGATAGGTGGTCAGGATAGCTTGCTGAAACTGGGACCTGTACGTTTCAAATTAATTAAGTTGTAATCCAATTAATATTCAGTTATCAAAATTATATTCAAATATATATAATGGAAGAGAATATAGATATATACATATATATACCTGCAAAATTAGCCAAATTGACCAGCAACAACTGCTTCCGAAGAGAAAGAGACAACCCAGCAACCAATTATCACCACCTCCAGACCCAAAAATAGATGTTGTAATTGGTAGGATTAATTGTGTGTTCAGTAGCTTTGGCCCTTTGAGCAATGCCATGAAAATGGCTCCACTCACACACAACACTGTCCCTATAATCTTTGCAATGCTTCTCAACCTTCGGATATTTACCTTCTCTAATCTGTACAAGTCATAGATTAGAAAAACTGGTTAAATTAATGTTTAGATACAATTTTTTTTTTTGAACACCACTTTAAAAAATGAAAGCAATGAAGTGAAAATGATAAAGAGATAAGTTAAATAATTCTCATATATTTATCAAGAAATAAGATATTAATTTCAAGATTCTTGTTAAAACTGATCATAGATGGAGCTAGCTTGTTAGAAAATTCTCGTGGATTCTTGTTAATTAAATTCAAGAGAAGTAGCCTTCACAGAAGTTCATGAATTTATATACTCCAAACGGAAGTGGTCATAACAAGCTGTATTGAATGGTAATTAAGACAAATCCCTATGGTGCCATTTATGATTAGACTTAAAATTTATTAAGCAGGAGGCTTAAACTTGGAATTTTAAAGATACACATATATATAGCTAGAGAGAGAAAAAGAGAGATAATTATATGCAAATATATATACATGATCTTGTTTAATATATATGCATCCAATTTCTGGGAACTAATTAAAATTAATGAAATAGTTTAGAATATATTTATGAGTTGTACGTGTCTTGTGGCCACTGAAGTCATTGTGTGAAGCTAGAATTATATATATATATATATATTACCCAATGCTGGATGCGATTACAAAGGTGATTGCAGGGATTAGATTACCCATTGCACTTCCCAAGGACGAAGAGGCTAAGTATACACCCTCAAAGTAGATGTTCTGGTTGACCGTTACGCTGTCAAATAAGACAAATTAATAAAACTCAAATCATTGATCTGCAAATTTTGTTACATACACATATAACTTTAAGGATACAATTAAAATTTAGAAAGTGGACATTTACCCAACAAGAGTGGCCAAAAATATCAAACCAAAGCTTTTCAACCCTATAGAACAGCTTGTAGTTTTTCTTCTGCAGTAAAACAAATTAATATGAGAGATATATAAAAATATATATATATGTGATCAGAAAGATACATATATATATATATATATATATATATATATATATATATATATAAAACTCGTATGTACGTACCTTGCAAAATATGCAATGGGAGCAATAACCAAAGTGGCTATGGCTTGCCTGTAGAACACAAACACCCTGGGGCTCATTCCTTGCAAAAGAGCAGCTCTAGTTGATAAAGTGACCCCTGCATATGTAAACTGCAGTGCAAACATAGCCATTGCTGGCTTGTGATCATCTAACCAACCCATTCTCTTTATTTATTTATTTATTTTGATTGCACAACTTCAGTTTCAGACCATATATATAAGCTGCCAGATCCATAATTGAGTACTTTTAATTTCTTCGATCATATGCAAAACTCCAAAATTTTATTGTCTTTATTTACATACAAACAAAGACGTGAGTTGTCATATGAGTAGAGTGGTGCATGCATAATTGTATACGAGATTTATAATTAAGCATGCACATGTTTGATTCCGTCGACGTGTAGTCGATGTAGACCATTTTGGCACCCAATAGCCACTAAATTGGAGGTTTCCTCTAGCTTTGAGATTTATAACACATAATGTTTTATAATTTTCATGTATGTATTGGTCTTTATGCTAAGTCTTAATGTTTTAACATTTCCATGCATGTATCGGTGACAAGTACAACTTTGGGAGGGTACGGTACGTGGTGGTGGTGGTGGTGGTGGTGGTGGTGGTGGTGGTGGTGGTGGTGTACTTAAAATCACATCAAATCATTTCATATCACATGGTCATAGACATGCAACTACAGTACCACATTCAATTAATGATCAATTACAAGGATATGCTGTTCTCGTTTCAGCATCTTGTTCTGATGTGAAACTGCTTATTGGGGCCTAATTTTGTACACATGGTCAATTTTTGGTTATTCCAGGGAATTTTATCACTCCATTTCCCTGAGTACGTCGTCTCCATAAGTTAATGTAGACTTAGATCGAAAAAAATGTAAAAGTTTATACAAGTTCCAACTCTAAAAATTTAAATAAATATGTCTAACACTAATAAATATTGGAATAGAGCATTACATGTCATAAAATAAGTCAGATAATTTTGTTTACTTAAGACTCCGTTTGTTTGGACGTAAAATATTTTTTAAAAAATATTTTTTTATTTTCTGATAGTTGGTTGTCTTAAAATATTTACAAAAATAAATAAATAAATAAAATTTAACAAAAATAACTTATCCATCAATTTTCGGCAAGTTATTTTATATATCCCGCCGAATGGACTCGATCTCAACTTTGACGTAGACCTTTGTCAAATACCAATAAAGTAAAAATAAAAAAATATATATTTTTTGAAAAAATATATTTTACTTCAAAATAAACGGAGCCTAAATTACGCACATTATTAATTTACCGTGAGGAAGAGAAAGATAATATTAGAGATAATGCTATTAATTAATAGAGTGGAGGAGTTTTAATTGCAATAACGTCTATTGTATTTGCACTCGAGTTTTATCTATGTACTTGTAGGGAAGTAAGGGTAACAAGGAAGCTGTGGTAATGATAGTTCACATTGCTAAACAAAAGTTAGAAAAGAAGAACATAAGTATGAGAAATGGCTCGAGCTAAAAAACAAAAAACAATATCATGTCATGTGATGGAGGTGAATCCAGGATTTTTAGGTGGGATGGACTAACATTAAACATGAATACTAAGAAATTGGTTGGGGCCTTTATTTTAGTATGGTGGCTGAGTTTACTTGGACTTTATTGAGTTTTTGGGATGGGCTAATACTATTTATTTATTTTATTTTTTGGGCTGGGCTAATATATTAGTATTGTAAAAAAAAAAAAAAAAAAATTTTGGGGGTGGGCTACAGCCCACCTTTGCCTACCCCTGTGTCCGCCCATGGAAGGAGCGAGTCATTAAAAATAGTATTAAAGCCTTGCACAGTTAAAAGTGTGGCCAACGAGGTGAAATAGACTTGCAGTTGTGATTGGCTAAAAAAAATAGCTATAATTGTCGTTGTAGTTGGTTAAAAAAAAAAAAAAACAGCTCTGAATAAAAAATTTCTTTTATTTTTATGGAACATTAAAATCTAACTTTGTAAGACGAAATTATCCTCTTTCTTGAATTTTGTTTGTAGATATATCTATATCTATATCTATACTATTATTAAATGTGCAAAGTGTTTCAGTATTTATTTATTAATTTATATAAATTTTATAAAACTCAAAATTACCTAATAAAATTAAAATTAATTCAAATTAACAAAATATAAAAACAGTTTAATTCAAATTACAAAGTCCCACATTGGTTTCAAGTAAAAATGATTACATGAAAATCTCTTATAAAACTATAAAGCTAAAGAAATAATAATCGCACCTCCTCGGCCTTTAGGCTAAGATCAAGTGTAATACTAAATTTTTTTGGGTCGGCCTTTTGGCTAAACTTTCTTGGTCAAAATTTGAGAATTCTATAAATCCATAATTTAAGAGTAAAATACAGAAACTCTGCCAAAAAGTTTCAGTATTTCAGTATTTATTTATTAGTATTTAAGTATTTATTTATTTATATAAAAAAATATTTAAAACATTAAAACCTACATAATAAAATTTAAATTTACCTATTTATCTATTTATTATTATTAATTTTTTAATAAAAGAAAATCTAATTAGACAAGAATTATTAATATAAAAATATTTATTAATTGATATATAAAACAAAATAATTTTTCTAAAACTCTACCATAAATTAGCTTTTATTATAAGTTTCTTAATAAAATTAAATCTAATTAGATAAGAATATATTTAAAGAAAATAAAATAATTTCTATAAAACTCTATCACAAATTGCCAATTTTATTTTCAACAAAACTATATCATACTAGACATAAATATATTTAAAGAGTTTTTATAAAACTCTAACACAAATTAACTATTTATCTATTTATTATGAGTTTTTTAATAAAAGGAAATCTAATTAGACAAATATTTTTAATATAAAAAATTATTTATTAATTGACATAAAAAGAGGTTTTAAAAGTGTTTCTATAAAACTCTAACACAAATTATCTATTTATCTATTTATTATGAGTATTTTTTTTTTAATAAAAACAAATCTAATTAGACAAGAATTATGAAAATCAATAATATTTAATAATTGAAAATTACGTAAAGTGTTTCAATATTTCAGTATTTATTTCTTTTATCTAAAAAAATATTTATTAATTGATATAAAAATAGTTTCTATAAAACTTTAAAAATTATCTAATAAAATCAATCACATTCTATATAAAACTCTAATTTTTAGCTCAATATAAAAAGAATAGTTATTTTTTATGAATAATTATCACAATATAACGGACCTGAATCAATTATGATTATGTAATTATCAGAAAATGACACATGTCATCATCCTATTAATCCAAGAAGCCTATAAATAGAGGCATTGAGAAAGAAGTAAGGGATACAGAAATTCAGATTTCTAGAAATTCATAATTCTAAAATACAGAAACTTTGCCAAAGGGTTTCAGTGTTTACTTATTTATATAAAAAAATATTTATTAATTGATATAAAAAGAGTTTTTATCTATACTATTATTAGATGTGTAAAGAGTTTCAGTATTTAAGTATTTTTTTTATTTATATAAAAAAAATATTTAAAACACTAAAATCTACCTAATAAAATTTAAATTAACCTATTTATCTATTTATTATTAAGAATTTTTTAATAAAAGAAAATCTAATTAGAGAAGAATTACTAATATAAAAAATATTTATTAATTGATAAATAAAACAAAATAATTTTTCTAAAACATAACCACAAATTAGCTTTTATTATAAGTTTCTTAATAAAATTAAATCTAATTAGATAAGGATATATTTAAAGAAAATAAAATAATTTCTATAAAACTCTATCACAAATTACCTATTTTATTTTCAATAAAACTCTATCATACTAGACAAAGATATATTTAAAGAGTTTTTATAAAACTCTAACGGAATTTACTTATTTATCTATTTATTATGAGTTTTTTAATACAAGGAAATCGAATTAGACAAGTATTATTAATATAAAAAATTATTTATTAATTGATACAAAAAGATGTTTCAAAAGAGTTTATATAAAACTCTAACATAAATTACTTATCTATCTATTTATTATGAGTTTTTTTAATAAAAGTAAATCTAATTAGACAAGAATTATTAAAATAAAAATATTTATTAATTAAAAATTACCTAATAAAATAATACAACGTGTTTTAGTATTTCAGTATTTATTTATTTATATATAAAAATATTTATTAATTGATATAAAAATAGTTTTTGTAACAATAGTCTCTGTAAAACTCTAAAAATTATTTAATAAAATCAATCATATTCTATATAAAACTCTTATTTTTAGTTCAATATAAAAGAATAGTTATTTTTTCTGGATAATTATCAGAATATAACTGGTCCGGCCCAATTATAATTATGTAACTATCAGAAAAGAACACATGTCATCATCTTATTAATCCAAGAAGTCTATAAATAAAGGCATGGAGGAAAGAGGAAGGGACAGAAATTGAGAATTTTAGAAATCCAGAATTCAAGATTAAAATACAGAAACTCTACTAAAGTGTTTCAGTATTTCAGTATTTCAGTATTTATTTATTTATATAAAAAAAATATTTAAAAAACTAAAATCTAAATAATAAAATTTAAATTAACCTATTTATCTATTTATTATTATAATTTTTTTAATAAAATATAATCTAATTAGACAATAATTATTAATATAAAAAAATATTTATTAATTTATATATAAAATAAAATAATTTTTCTAAAACTCTACCACAAATTAGCTTTTATTATGAGTTTCTTAATAAAATTAAATTTAATAAGACAAGGATATATTTAAAAAAAATAAAATAATTTATATAAACTCTATCACAAATTACCTATTTTATTTTCAATAAAACTAGACAAAGATACATTTAAAGAGTTTCTATAAAACTCTAACACAAATTACCTATTTATCTATTTATTATGAGTTTTTTAATAAAAAGAAAATCTAATTAGACAAGTATTACTAATATTAGAAATTATTTATTAATTGATATAAAAAGAGGTTTTAAAAGAATTTCTATAAAATTCTAACACAAATTACCTATTTATCTATTTATTATAATTTTTTTTAATAAAAATAAAATCTAATTAGATAAGAATTATTAAAACAAAAATATTTATTAATTACAAAATTACCTAATAATATCAATCACATTGTATATAAAA